ATGAACGTGGCGTTACAATTGATGAACATTTAGAAAGATCTAATTTCGAATTTGCAGGAAATGTATTAGCTGAAGTATGGAGTTCCATGGAAATTGATGGCTATATCTTCCAGTCAATTTAGCTCTACGCTTAAGTGCTTCACTCAAAGATTTCCTGCAAATGCCCTACGATTATTTTTGTTCGACGGTAGAATTGAGAATCGTCACATCGAAAATATCCATAAAAAAATAAACACGCACACTGATAGGAAAGTTAGACCTGTAAGAGTCGCTGCTGGTCGTGCTAATGAACTGATGTGCGTTATTCAAAATTTAGAGCACCATGATGTTGAATGGCTCGATGAGAATGACGTAGACATTCCAAAATCCGATGAAAGCGAGCAAACTCACAACACTGAGCAGCAATCGAAGCAATCCAATGTCATCGAAAACTTAGAATCATGGATTCGGGTTTCATGGAAAGACTTAATTTGAATTTAATATGTGTACCAAAAATTTCAAGTAAGTTTGTTATGTTAGTAAGATATAATATTTTTGTCCTTTACTCTATGTTGAATACCATATCAGTAAAATATAATCTCTATCCTAAATCTATTTTCTTATTTTTCAAATTATAATTATAACGTAATACTTGAACGGTCCCTTCTGTTTTATACAGAAAAAAATGGGTGGACCAGCAGCGGAGTCAACGAATTAAATAGTTTTAGGGCTCTGAAGAGGAGACATCAAATTTCATTACATGTGAGATGTGCAGCCAATTTAATTCAGTTTGGTAAGACAACAATCGAAAGTTATCTTAACCAAGCTTTTAGGCAGCACACTTCTAGATACCGTATGTTTTTTGGCAAAACAGGGATTACCGTTCATTTTGAAGTGGATGACTCTGACAATGGAGGAAATTACAGGGAATTGTTAACATTCATTGCCGAAAAAGATCAAAAATTTTCGAACATCTAGAAACGTCGACTGTTTTTTCGGACGGCTTAGATTAGTCATAGCATAAGACGATGAGGTATATCAAGTGCCCCATACGCCCAGTCCAGGAATGTTTACCTTAGTTTAAAAATAGTTTAAATAAAATACCTAAAATAAGCAAAAACTTGGTTCAAAATAAACTTTTTTTGGTAACAGTTTAGGAAAAGTCACGCATCGCCACAGTTGTTGACGGTTCATTACTTCAGAGAATTGTCCCCATAAACTCGTTCCAAACACTTAAAAATCTTCATTCTTGCCTGGCTTTGCAAGAAAGTTGATGTCGATGCACTGTTCCTCGATCAGAGGGAGCTCCATGCCGACGGCAGGTAAACAGGGTAAACACAGGGCTACTTTCAATAAGCACACGTGAATCCTATTTACTCGCAGAGCGGCTCGAACTGAGCATAGAGCGCATTGCATAGAGAGAGGGAACCACGAACCACCGGGCCCCCGCTCCACAACGCCTTGACAGGACGCCACGAATTTGTTATACGTAACATATGACGTATCTGGCCTTACTAACCGTCGAGGACACTAAACTCTGGGGTTAACACATGTTGGGCTGAAGTTTCAAACTAGTGGATCTCCAGTTTTGAACTGGAAGCAAAGTAACGTGGGTTAGAACCTTCTGAATATATTAAGAAATTGCATTAGAGGGTCATGTCCAACCTTCTCAACCATATCATATTTTGAAATTATTACGCTTAATCGCATAAGAGACAATTAGTTTTCAAGGGTGTCGTTTGATACCTTATTACTTGTTCTCTTTTTCCACAATTCCCCAGAATCAAATGACTTATATTTCTGATGGATCCGTCAACGCCAGGCAAACAGACAAAACAGTGTTTTCGTTTTTTGAACGCAACAAATTCATTTTGTACTTGCTCCTTTGTTTAGAAAAGTTCATTTGCTTACAAAAAAATGACGCTACAACCAAGTTTTACTGGATTTATACCCCATCTATTATTGCCAACATTAAGATACTAGTTCAAAGACGTCACTTGCTGTTCACCTCAGTAGACGCCAAAACGCGATGGATACTCGTAAAATAGGGTATCTATAATAGGGAATCTTCCATAGTTCTGGAGGGCTACATTTGATGCCTAGTGTATTCTTTTGACATAAGTTGCTGTAGTTCATTGTCTATTTTTTAAAATATCACAGGTGTTGGGTTTTGTTGTGAAAAATAAAACAAGTACACCGAATGTGACTTTTTTATTATCAACTTACAAAAGAATGGCAGTGATAACAATACAATTCTATTGATCTTAAATATATTTCCTTACATGCTATGTTTGCGTAATATATAAAACTACGTCCGATTATTATTAAATGTGATTCACAATGTTTATTTAATTACACAGTACACATCCTTTATCCAGATAAGAGATAAAAGCTGTGATAAAATCATGAACATTGCGCTATTTTCAGGTCAATCATGAACGGAGAAAAACGTCGTTTGCATTTGTCGATTATTTATTTAGTCATAAAAATTGAATGATAGATGTCCAGTTAGAATTAAAAATCCCCTGCATAAGCCTAAATCGATGAAATTTTCTATCGTTTTAATTTTTAGCACTGATCGAAAGTCTACATGTTCACTTTTTCTACCTGCCCTCCCTTTTTCTCCCTTTATGCAGCTCCCCAAAAAGGCGAAACATGTTGAAAATGCGCATCCCTTTATGAGAAATCGGTAGTCATCTGAACGGCGTTTTTTGAGTAGGCATCACATATAATGATTATGTATTCATCAACTTTGGAGTAGCATGTTTCAAAACTTTCTGTACGGTGACTCGAAGTACCTAACGATACAATTCAGTTCTGAATATTGTTTCATACCTAACCAGTGTTTTTTTTCCGATCGTAAAAAAAAGGGTGAAAATTAAAAGAATAATTATTTCAACTCTTCAAATTATGCCGTTATTCTGCCTGAATCCAAGTGATTCATTAAGTTTTTGTTGCATCAAAAACGCTCCTCAAGCAATAAGTTACTTATTCGAAGTGGTTGAAAAATGTCAATACAACAATTATTGAATTTTGTAGTTTGTCATACGCGTTAAGATTTGAAGTTTGTCGGAAAAATCTGAAACTATAAGTGAGATTTTCGGCCCCGAAAATAATCTCAATAACTCTGAAGTTGGTCGCATCTTGGAAACTCTAGAGTTTAAGTATTTTAGAACACATGTATTCCAAATTTTTGTCGACATTTTCCTTTGTATTCTAGTACTTGATTGCGCTTTAAAAGCCCAAACTTTGCATTTTCGTGTAAAATTCGCCAATGTTCGTATCGACTTCTACTTCAAATCTGTTAAAACATACTAAGGCGCAAGTAATATATAAAAATGAAAGTGTTGATCTGCTGCGCGCACATTAAAAGCTAAAGTTCTCATTATAAAATAATTGTGTTTTATTGATTTGTTTCAACTTTTCTGATTGTGAGTGCCGTGGACCAGTACTTTCTTTTTTACATACGAGTACTTTCTGTATCTGAGTATGATATTATAGATTTGAAGTAGAAAGTATTATGACCATGCGCTCATATAAAAATACTAATTTAAATATTCGAAAATGCGTGAAGTTTTGGGCTCTTGAATTATAAAATAAAAACAAAATATACATAGACATGTTTTAAAATGCAACGGTCGCCGATCAAATTTTTCGCCTACCTCCGCATAGTATTTTGAGTATTTCAATCGACTAAATGCACTTTTTTGCTTTTCGCTTATCTATCGCCAGGACTACTAAACCTATACCGCACTGATGAGTTGCTGTTGAGTACGAAACGGCGCTGTCTGAGGTTGGTCGCGGTTGCAGAGGCAAAAGTTGTCTATAGGCAAACCTACATATAAAAATTATCTGAAGAAGTATACAAATCTGCATCAATTCAAATTGAGGAACATAGGGTCAAATCATCTTTGCCAAATTTTCAGATCGATAGATCGTTCGTAGTAGCCCAAACGTGTTTTTTTCGAAAATAACTTTCTTCGGACGCAATTTTTCTACAAACAATTTTAAGAAATCACCAATATTACATTATTATATCCCACCTAACCGTGATTTTTGTTTTCTATTTTTGGTTTGGTAATTAATGTTTATGATCCAATGTATACAACTGATTCCTTGCCCGGAATATCACCCAAAAACCGGAATAACTGCTTCTTATTGATATTCTCCAATTCTTAACATTACAAGCACAGCTAAGGTGGCTAACTTAGAAACTTGACAAGCATGTCCATTCTTTCAGGTTCCGCAATCAAAATTTTGATGTCTCTTGGAAAATTGCGAAAATATGAAAAATCGCAATTTCGCTGATTTTGATCAATTTTTGACATGTTTTGTCGGGAAAGGAATACCTGCCTATCTTTTTTACGTTCTTTCAGTTCCGATTTCTTGTCCGTAAAATCGGAAAAACCAAATTTTCGTTTGTCCAATCTTTTACATTTTAAACTTAGGATATCATAAGTTGGACGTACATGTGTGTGTTTTTTGTCTATTTTTTTTTAGGTTCCACAGTCAAAATTTCTATGTGTTTCCTGGAAAATTGCGAAAATAGGAAAAAACTCATTTCCCTCGTTTTCATGTCTGTGCTATACACACTTTCTATTATACACATGCGTGGATTGAGTTTCTGAGTTAAAATGTCTAAAATTGCAAAAATCGGTGAAAATGCGGTTTTTGAAATCTTTGGACAAGAAATTATTCTTTTGTTACCAGAACTGCAAATAACGTAAAAAAGCACATGCATGCAATGAGCTAGCTCTTCCGAACAAAGACGTAAGAAACTGAAGAAAATCAGCGTAAATGCGAGTTTTCATATTTTCGCAGTTTTCAGGGAGACAATGGGCTATGGAACCTCAAAAATGGACTAAAATACAAGGGTTTTTCCGGTTTTTGAACTAGTCAACTCTAGATGTCCTACGTTTAAAATGTCAAATATTGGAAAAAATCGGTGAAAATGATTTTGTTAGTTGGTGTGAAAAGAACGCAAGGAAAAATGGGTATACAGTGGATTTTTAAATTTGCAAAATTTTCATTATCTAACCAAAAATTCGAAAATAAATTTCAAACAATTTGAAATCTATACGTTCCACAAATATATAAAAAATTAGCGTTATATAAGATATTACAATGAAGTATCGGTAGTTTTTTCAGTTTTTTGGGTTGGTTGCGCCACTAAGAAATATTTTAAAAAAATACCTTTTTGAGTTTAGTGACCTCTATCCATTTTGGCTAAAGTAATTTGACCCAACATGCTTGAATTTGAACCTATACAGATTTGGGTACCTTCGGAAGCAGTATTTAAATGTAGTTTCACCTATAACCAATTTGGGTTATTTTCAGGACCAAAAACCCTGCTTATAGACCCTGATCCTTTTTGCCCATCGAGATCAGCTTACAGAAAACGTTTGATTAGGGCGAAGACAAAAGACCAAATCGTAACCGAATAGCTGAGCTTTCCAGAAGAGTTACATAAATCTGAACTACATGTGGTACAAGTATGTTGTCCAGGAAGGACTTGACCTCTCGCCCTTAATTCGTTGAAAATATCTTCACAGGTTGCACCATATCGGAGTGCTTGGCAACCTCTGGTTATGTGGTTGATAGTAGGTGTTCCTGGTATGACAGCTGTGAAAAAAATAAATAAAAATAAGTATATTGGTTAAAGAATGCAATTAATGCTATACATAATACACTGCAGAAAGTGATGATGGTAGAAATAAGCAATAAGTTGTGGGTATGCTTTAACCTTTTTTTCGAAACAAATCGTCAGGAGAACGGTATTTTTGTTCATATGGGAAATTGTAAAATGTAAACCATTTCCTTCGATATCTCCAAACGCTATAAAAAAAAGCTAAGGAACTACGCCTTTATATGTATGAGAATAGTAAAGAGTACAAAGGAGAATCGTTGATACCACTGACAGTTGAGTTTTAAACACCTATAGAACCTTGCAACAGGAAATACTTTTTTTATCATAGTTTTGGCTCCAAAGGTCCAAAAAAGTTTCTTCAAAGTATGTATTTGTCATCGGCTTTTCACGAACGCGAAAACACGACAGACTTATTCTATTTGTTTATAAGGCAAAAATACGTGTACCCTTGGCGACGCTAGTTAACATTGTGTGTACAAAACAATCTGGTATCTCTTTCGATACGATCTGAAAATAAGTCTAACCAAAAAAATAATACCAATAACAGGCCAAAGTCCGAAGTCGGTGGACAGCTCGTCAAAGAAAGCTGTTTTTCCAAAAAAAACTACAATTACAATTTTGCAGAAACCGTGCTATTTTTATACTAAGAATTGCAACGGCTATACTTTTTGGCTATTACTGTAGATTTAATATTATTCATTTCCGGTAATAATAAATGTAGAACTCCACGATTTTTGTCTGTTTGTTTGTGATAGCAAATAGCCGTTCCAGCCAATTAATCTAAGGTCTAAGTTATTATCATCCCTTACGACTTCTTCTGAACACTTACATCAGAAGTTCAAAACTATTCAAATACACGTGAGAAACAAATTCTTACAACTTCAATAAAAAAAGGAAGAAAGAATGTAATTCCCTTGTATAACGGGTTATTTTTTCTAAAATCGGTTCAATGTTTGGTTCCTCAATTTTGAAAAAAAAATGGGAAAATCTTGCAAGTAAAAGTCAATGTTTTTCTTGATCATGTCCGTACATACTTTGGTAATGGTAAACAGCACACACAGAAGGTCCAATGCATTGTACCCGTCTGAGTTGTCCTTCTTCTCCCGTTAGACAAGCACTTGATTCTCCAGGTCCTAATCTTGATACACATTCGTAACACCGGATAGATTCAGCTAAGCCAACAAATACTTATGTTAGACTCTGAAGTATGTATATGTTATGGTTCAGTTGCTACACTAATGGGAGGCCACGGGCCCCCGGGAGCCCATGCTGCCGTTTAAGAGCGAAGTTTCAAGCCATGATTTGAACTACACTGAAGTAAAACAACAGATTTTGGATTCGACAATTTTGATTCGCTGCTCCATAGTCTTCCGCATTACATCATACTTTTGTATTTGAATTAAAAATAATCAAAAATGACATCCTGAAAAAGTATATAAGTAATTAGACAACGTTCACTTTGCACCACCCACTAGTCCAGTTAAAAAAACATAGAAAACAGTTTACTCCTTGCTAAATTTCAGGCTTCCAGGATTTTATGTAGCAAAAAATGTTGCATGAAAGTTATCAAAAGTCTTACAGTGCTTCTATAGTCATCCGGAAACAAAATAGCTAGATCAATTAAAAATGTATATTGCATAATTTTAATTTTTTTTCAATATGTAAATCAACTCCTTAATTCCTATAAAACTTTAAAATACGTAATTCGAATGTCTTGACACTTACCTGTACGAAGAGATACCAGTATAATAAAAACAATCACAACTCTAACAATCATTTTAGATACCCTTTATTATCCCGTGTACGGAAGATAACTTCATTAATTCAGTTTGCTCAACCGAAAACTGTACCGCAGATTTTTCTCACGTATTTAGTTATGATATGCCCGCGAAATATTTAACAAGTGACTAACGTCCCCCAAACCGAGCTGAAATGTTTTAAGAAATCACCATAAACAGCTAATAAGCCATTAGTTGTAATACGTTTCATAGATGCCGGTGTAAACAAACCATATATTTTAAAATTTAAACAAATTTTAGATGGAACAACACAGGAAATTGTATTTGACATTTGATATTGAGCTTTATTTTCGGCACTTACCTGACGAGTGAAAAATAAACACATATGTAGGTCAAGTTTAAGATTTTACAGAGGATGCGTATATTTGTCTCTAATTGCTTTTCGCGAAAATGTTGGTAGCATCGGTTTGAATTTGAGATTGATCCGCTGAGGATAGCTTTATCCGCCCGCTGATGCAAATACAGGGAGTTTCCTTTACACAGCACGTAGATCTTGATAAAAAAGCGGTTTTTCTTAGTAGCAAGGTCTTAAGATAACTGAGATATCAGGCTCCGCAAAATCTATCAACCCTAAACCAAACCTACGTCGTACAGCAATATCGAACTTGTCGACATGATTCTTCAAAATGCTACCGATCTGCATGCACTCGCGAAGCATGCAGATCGCTTTCCCAAAACCTGTTTCTTGACTGAATCAGGTATCTGAACCACAAATCTGGTATCACTTTTACGCTGAAATCGACCCCATTGTCCCACTGGTGTCAATCCCACAGTGTCAACGCGAATATTTCTCGGTGGGGCTGACCTGGAGGGCAGTAAATGATAGCCGTTTTCTTTTTGACGAAACACTTGGAAACGTTATCACTGCCCTCGTAACTGAGACCTTGGATGTGAAAGAATACTCTTGCAAAATTGGGCAACTGGAGTTACACCATCATTTATCGGAGGTTCCGAAGCTTGGAGAGCGATCACGTTCACGTGCTTGCGGTGCTATCCAAAGGAAGTCGAGTTCTTAGGAGAAAATACTGAAGTGTATCGGGAACCGTCGATTCACCACATAAATATCCGACCAGATAGCGGAAGCAGTCAGCCACGGTCGAGGAGAGACAGTTAACAGCGGGCGATGGCTCACCACACGACGTGGAAGCAATAGTCCGGCAAATATGGTTATAAATTGTCATAAATTAGTTCAAGTGTTATATAATAATAATAATAATTATAATAATAATAAATAATAATAATAATAATAATGATAATGATAATAATAATAATAATAATAATAATATCTAATAATAATAATAATAATAATAATAATAATAAATTAGACTTTGGACGGTAAAACCGGTGTCTTTATTACAATAATTTGGTGTAGTTTAGGACCTATTAGTTATTATGTATGTACCTTAAGTAACGTATATCCGGTTTCTAGTCCAGCAGAATTTGTTTCTTTGAACTTTTCTTCATGATTTCACCAGATCAACCCTACAGACTTCGGCATCCTATTCTAACTCTGTCGAATTGTGTACATCGAGAACTGGAATACTCCTTGATTTCTAAGATGTCAAGATGTTGCGTATTTTTTCAGTAGATGTTTTGGAGTTCTATTAACTTTAAGCAATTAAAAAAATAGATAAAGATGAATCCTTTGGCATCCTTACAGCTGTCATGCGTTTCTGTCTCGGCGGTAGAACTAACAAATACTGTTTTCAAAAGCATCATGTTGTAAAATAAACAATTTAATTTTTCCCATTAAAAGTCATAAATACTTGTGTTTTCCATTAGCAAAGGGGGCTATACGCCTTCCATGGACAAACAGGACACCTTTCAGTAAAAAGAAAACAACAATTATATAAATATATCATTTATCTAGAAAAATGATTAATACCCATTATAATACTTCCTTGGCAAGTATAATACTGAAGACCCCAACTAAAATAATTGGTACATTAATTCCCGATGCCCCACTGTGACTATGCCTGTTGCAATCATTACCCTTGCACACGTAACATTTATCAGTAGGTTCAAGCTTTGTTGTCATCGGTGACGTGTCTTTGATCATTTTCCAAAAGGCATCACATTCCTTGCCTTCCATCAAGGGATAGCACGACTTATAGGTTACGAACTGCTTCACATTCTTGGAAATATCTGGAACAGGAAAAACATACAATGAGCTAGGAAGTTTTTTTATAAAATAAACCTGAAAGAATTAATACTTATAGCTTGAAATTCAAGGAAGTTATGACATTTTCTATATTGGGTACTGTATAGCCAACCGGTCTCGGGCGTCGAGGTTTGGTCGTAACGTCACATGACATAAGCGCGGCATTTGGGCCATAGCACCAAGTTCTAAAATATAGTCAAAATTAGAAAGATTCGCTAAATTTTCCAAGAAAATTCATTTCTACGTTTTCCAATTCATTGATAACGAATATGATCCATTTGTCAAAAATGTTTGAGCTCATGTTTAAAATGTTTTCATTGTTACTAATAACGAACTTGACATCCATTGCTCAAAAATCGAAATCGGGGTTTTACAGAAAACGTTTTGATAGCGATCAAAATTAGGTTTCGAGTGTTTTTAAGATCCCTAATAACGAATTGAATGTCGATTCTTAATAAATCTAGTATCCAGGCAAACTACAGTTGAGTTTGATTGTTCGACCATCTACTACTGTAATGTAAACTCGTTGTAATTATTTTCTACTTTTTAGTTGGTTAGCTATAAAAGCGTGTTCTTTAGTTTTTTTAAACTATTATTTATTATAGAGTGCGCATCTCTCCGCAGCCAGCAAATCAGTGACTTTTGAGTATACTTTGAGACAAGTAGGTCGAATTTATATCTCACATAATATTTCTTCGATTGATTTCTTTTGAATCATAGCTCATATGGCCTTAGGCATGGAAATAAATCGAGCTTAATCTGACTGATGACAGGATTGCATGGGAAGTATGATACACAGTCAAAACCTACTTGACAAAACAAGAAAAATAGATACCTCATGTATGTCTCTCTAATGGAACCACATTAAAAAAACAAACGAAGGGTCACCTGGAAGACATCAATAAAATATTGTTAAAAGTGTCATGTACCATTGTGACCGAAACTATACTAAGTGACATATAAATCCGAACACCCAGTTTAAATGGTTTTATTTTAAAAATAGTTGGTGAATGTATTTATCTTACTGTAAATAACAAGTGAAAAAATTTTCAGCCTTATCATTTGGACATTCCGGTTTTTATACTGCTCTTTTTTAATTCACTAACGCTCTAAAAATGAATATTTCAGCCGCAGTAAAGAATCAACGTTGGCGGATTTTGGTTCTTGACATCCTTTACGATCGGTTACGATGCCTAGAGTACGGAGACCTGTACGATTTCGTCAACTTAGTGAGTTTGATAGGGGCCGTATAGTGGGACTTCGAGAAGCTGGACTTTCTTTTCGGGCAATTGCAGTTAGAGTGCAAAGAAGTGTAGAAACTGTGGTTAGGTGTTGTCAGGCGTGGCTTCGAGAAGGCCGTACGCAAAGAGCAAGGGGCACTGGACGCCGCTGCAGAACAACAGACCGTGAAGATCGCCACCTAAGATTATTGGCCTTAAGGGACCGTTTCTCCACTACCAGGTCCATTGCAAATGAATGGTTTGTAGAACACGGAAGACCTATTGGCATGCGAAGTGTTTACCGACGAATGAGAAGTTTTGGCTTGTTTTCATACCGGCCACAATGGGTCCTCCCTTTAACTCGAGAACACCGACGTAATCGCCTTGAGTGGTGCAGACAACGGTCACTCTGGGATCAGGAATGGAACAGTATTGTCTTTAGTGACGAGTCTCGATTTTGTTTAGGCATGCACGATGGTCGTGCCAGGGTTAGAAGGCGACGTGGTGAAAGGAGGAATCCACAGTTTTTTGTTGAAAGACATGTTCATCACACTGTTGGAGTTATGGTTTGGGGTGCTATAGCTTATGGTTCCAGGTCACCTTTAATCTTCATCAGAGGTAACATGAACGCGCAGCGTTATATCCACGAAGTTCTAGAACCCTATCTTTTACCCTATCTTGACACCCTGGCAGATCCAACTTTCCAACAAGATAATGCCCGACCACATGTTGCAAGAGTCACAATAGACTTCTTTCAACATAATGATGTCACATTGTTACCATGGCCACCAAGATCTCCCGACTTATCCCCAATTGAGCACGTGTGGGATATGATGGGTAGGAGATTGCTCAATTTGCAAAGTCCTCATCAGACTCTAAAAGCACTTCGAGAGAAGTTGGTGGTTGCCTGGAATGAGATACCACAGGAGGACATTGACCACCTGATCAGAAGCATGCCTAGGCGCGTTGGAGAATGCGTAGCACATCAGGGTGCATCCACACATTATTAAAGGTCAAAGCGCTTTAAAGCAGTGCAATCATTTTGAAATTTTTATCATTTACTTATTATGCTTCATTAAGTACTTATACAGAATTTTATTAAAATAAAACCATTTAAACTGGGTGTTCGGATATACATGTCACTTAGTATACATTAAGAAGAATTTCAAATATACGAGGTCTGCAAATTAAGGGATAAGTCTGATTTTTTTTTAAATTTTTTATCCAAATACAATTGCAATTTGATTATCATCACCCTCCTTTTGAAGCCCAACAGCGCTGGGCTTGGTTCTTCCACTCCTCATATCAGTGCTGGAACTCCGAGACTGGAATAGCCTTCAGCTGGTCGGGTATAGCCGTTAGAATGTCTCCGAATTTCCAAAATGAGTTCCCTTGATGTGATTTTTCAACACCGGGAAGACTCAGGGACTCAAGTCGGGTGAATAAGGAGGCTGAGAAGCCACAGAAAGGTTTTTACTGGCCAAAAATTCGTTTACTGACATTGCGGTGCTACAAGGAGCATTATCGAGATGCAACACCCAGTTGTTCTTGATCTGACGAACGGTGGTATTAGTATTAGTAACTCTTCCCCGATCATTCCGACTGTCAACCGACGCGGTTCATCTTCAATCGACTCTCTCCCTTCTGGAAATGCCTTAAACCACCGAAAAACATGGGCTATTGACAAAACATTATCTCCGTAGGCCTGCTGAAGCTTAGCAAGAGTTTCCGTTGCATTGTGCTCAAGAAGCAAAACCTGATAGCACACCGCTGCTCAAATCTGGTGTAACTTATTTTTACACAATCAAAAAATCGCAACGGACAACCAAATGACTCGAGCTCGTTCAAACCTGTACTGAAGGCGGGTCACATGTTCCCTTGTCACACCCTCCAAGCCCGACGCTACAGTGTTGCCAGATCTAACTCTACGTTGCCATTCTCATCACTTAGTTTACAGACCTCGTATACAGGGTGTTCAATAAGTACCACGACAAACTTAAGGAGAAGGTAGGCTTTGGACTGACCTCCCAAATAACCAAAACTTACCTTTATAAAAGTATCACCGTTTTTGAGATATTTAATTTTTTCTTAATTTTTAAAAAACGAACCTTTTCATATGTGGTCTTTAGCTGAACTTTGTTCATTTTTTCGTGGTACCTATAGGATGTATATACTAAGTGACATATAAATCCGAACACCCAGTTTAAATGGTTTTATTTTAATAAAATTTTGTGTAAGTACTTAATGAAGCATAATAAGTAAATGATAAAAATCTCAAAATAATTGCACTGCTTTAAAGCCCTTTGACCTTTAATAATGTGTGGATACACCCTGATGTGCTACGCATTCTCCAACGCGCCTAGGCATGCTTCTGATCAGGTGGTGAATGTCCTCCTGTGGTATCTCATTCCAGGCAACCACCAACTCCTCTCGAAGTGCTTCTAGAGTCTGAGGAGGACGTTGCAAATTGAGCAATCTCCTACCCATCATATCCCACACGTGCTCAATTGGGGATAAGTCGGGAGATCTTGGTGGCCATGGTAACAATGTGACATCATCATGTTGGAAGAAGTCTATTGTGACTCTTGCAACATGTGGTCGGGCATTATCTTGTTGGAAAGCTGGATCTGCCAGGGTGTCAAGATACCACCACG